ATTTTTGAGGAAGGGTTTGCAACATGTTACTTAATGTTTCTGATACGAGTATCATGAATTATTACATATTATTTTCTGGTGAATTAAATTATTTAGACCTTGTTACACACACACACACACACACACACACACACACATACTCATGCACACGTATAGTAATGTACTTGGTAAGTTATGAAATGTTTCCCTATTTATCCCTTTGTGACCTGGCCTTGAATCAATGGGACAAATTTGCTCGTGACTAACTTAAGTCTCTCTCATTTTAACAGACCTATGAGAAGTACAACTAAATCTAGATCCAACTCAATGTATCAGATCTAGTCTTGGTCGTAATTAAGAGCAGAACCATTGAAATCTGTCAAAATTAACTTAGGTTGCCTTGATTTTAATGAGTAAACACACAGAAGAATCCTCCTCTTAGAACTGCAAAGCTGGAAGGGACCCTATGGATCATTAGCCACAGTGGGGAATCGAACTCCCAACTTCTGGCTCTACCTAAACCATTGAGCTATCCCAGCGGTTCCATATCCTGGCTTGAGTAATCCTGCTTCACTCAGATACAGAGAACTATGAAGATAAGGAAGATGCTGGAAGTGATAAGCAGTTCTTTGCTCATTTGGCAAACAGCTGAGCCTTGGGGTTGTTGGGGTCATGACACTTTGGTGTGAACTAAAGCCAGCTTCTTTTTTTCAGAAGGAAGGGGAAACTTACGGCAAAGAGAACTGGGGGTCTTTAAAGGGGACAGGAGGACAAATTTCAGAGGCCAAGGAAGCTGCCTTACTAAATGAATCTTTTCTTGGCATTTGATGAAGCCATTTTTAAAAAGTTACAGCAAAGGTGGATGGAAGTGTTCATAAACAAGTTGCGTCTGTAGATTATTAATAGACAGATCATTCGCTTATTTAGCCATGTCTTGTGAATTCCGACTGGCTTGTGCCATTCCAGCTTTTCAGTCAAGATTACTTCCTATCCCCATCTGGCAAACTCCGTTAGTTCCTGAAAGTCCCTCATCCAAAAACTAACCGACATGATTGTGCAAGTGCTCCTCCTTGAGCAAGTGATGGCACACTTACCTGTGAACCAAAGGTGAGAAAACACTCACACGATCATCCTTATGTGAACTATCTCTCTCCACAGGGTTTTGGCTCCAATGTTTGGGCTTATAGCTCCCACCAGTCTCACACCACATGGTCAGTGACAAGGAACTATGGGAACTGTAGTCCTTGACAGTTGTTAAGGCAAACACTCCTGATAGCATGACATGCAGCTGATGCAGAAAAAGCTACTGAACTGTGATGCAGTTTTGATCCAGGTCCAGCACTTTAAAAGCTACACCATATTTTTTTAAACTGTAAGTTATATGTTCAAACAGTGTAATTCTGTTGGTGGTTTGACGTATTTGGCTGGTCTTCTTGACCACCTATGATACAATAGTAATTTTAAATATATATATATATTGCTCAGATTTACGTAATCCCTCTCTGCTCAAATCAAATAAAGAGACAGTTATAAAGATAATGAGGAAACCACAAGAGATAAGCAGTTCTCTGCTCATTTGCAAGTAGTGGACCGTCAGGGTTACTGTCATCGTTGGTGTTTAGAGTGGAGCAGATTTTTCAAAGAAATGTGGAAAGTTACAGCAAAGGGGTTAGGTGCCTTGGTTGGGCTGGAAGAGCGGACGTTTGACCTCCAATGACCTCAGAAGTCAGAATACCCTTGTCTTGGTATGCCAGATGACTAGGGCTATGGCTAACAAGTTATGTCAAAGTCGTATGAGAGTGAACACTTAATAAACACTTCTTAGTGAGGCGCTTCATCCCAACATTTCCTGTAGGAAATGCCTCCCCCCCCCCACCAGCCATCTATGTTTCCTTCCAGAAAGGAAGGGGTTGTGGACTGTTAATAATCCTGGTCAGTGATATACACGTTAAAGCAAAGGTAGGATGAGTGAAATTATGTCCTGTTTTTTCAAAAATCAGAACATGTAGCATTGCAGTTCCTTAGACAAATTTTGGAATACATTTTGTTGAGACCCCTTAGTGACTTGCCTTGAATCAATGGGACCAGTTTGCTCATGACTAACTTAGCTTCCACTCATTTTAACAGATCTGTGATAAGTACAACTAAATCTAGATCCAACTCAATGCATCAGATCTAGTCTTGGTCATAATTAAGAGCAGAACCATTGAAATCAGTGAAAATTCATGGATACATTTGGAGTGGATATTTTCTTAGATGGGGTTCCATTTCACCATTAAACATTTTCATAATTATTACTATTACTGGAAACATCTGAAGTTATAGCCTACGCTAAGTGCTGTTTGCTACTGGATTTCAGCCCCTCTTTGGCGTAGTGCTGGACCAGGACTTTGAAGGCCCAAATTACCATAAAACTCACTGAGTGATTTCTAACCACTGTCCCTCATCTTGCCTACCTCACAGAATGGCGGTAAGAATAAACGTGGGGTTGTATAGTACCCTGCATGTGCCACCTTGAGCTCACCAAGGGGATAAGTGGAACATAAGCAAGACCCAATAAATAGATAAGAGAAATAGCTGGGCAAAGTTTTGAAGTCATCAGGCTTAAAGATTCATCTGCAGGTATGCCTTTCTGGAATGCAAACATTTGAGGGTGTGATTTTGGATTCTGACTCTCGTCCTTGGTTTGTCCAGCAAATGTTGAGATTTATTCTGGTAACGTTTAAGAAATGCATCCTGAATAGTTAGGATTTGGTTTTTCCTCCTTCCTGCACACCTAAAGAAGTTGGTGAAGATAACCACTAGCAAACGGAATTGGTAGTATTTTTCGACTCTCTGCAACTCACGCTGAAAAATGTTTGGCTAAATGTTTGGACTTAACTGGACTTAGTTCATGGCCCCAAGCTGAACATGAGCTGAGTGTGTGGAGATGCTGCCTTTCTGATGTACAGGTTTTGGTAAAAGCTTAATGCAGAAGAGGCACTCATCCCTTGAAAAGAGGAAGGCGAAGTCTCCAGACGTATTTCCCACAATTTTAACCAAAATCATGTCCCCAAAAAGCCTTCTAAAAACAGTATCTAGGAATGTAAGGATCCCCCTTATATTGGCCAAAAACCTTGTTGTTTAGCATTAAAAATTACACTAGAGTAGGCCCACTGAATCCATGGGGATTTGGTAAGACAACTCTACAAGTTCCATTAATTCATGGGGGTCTACTCTAACCACAACTTTATCGTTAGTTAGAGTGGACCCATTTGAATCAATGGAGCTTACAGAGCAGTTGACTCACCCCCTTGGATTCATTCAACCCCATGGGGCTACTCTACTGCAATTTACTATACTAAGCAACAAGGTTTTGGCCACTGAGTGAGACCTTTCTTGCAGCAAGCCAAATATTGCCAACTCTGGCTGACAGTAACTTAGCAGAGTTTTGGGCAGGATTCTTTTGTAGTCTTACGCAAGAGACGTCCCATTAAGATACCCACCGATTCTGCTTTGGTCCGTTGAGGGTGGTTAGATAAATTAATAACCTTAGTCCACATAAATCACAGGGGCAGACTTACACCCAGTCTTGACTTCATCATCACAGGAGGAGTTGGGGTCAAAGCTTCTGTCTCCTGGACTTCCAAGGACTCTTTGATGACATCATAGCCTAGCAATTAAACCCCCCATAAATCTGTAGGATCCCAGTCAAGATGCAGAATAATTAAGAAACGAGGGGCATTGCCAGAATGCTCCAGTCAGTGCCCATGTGGGGCTGGGCTGATGTGCGAGCTGTAGTCTAGAGACAATGTGATCTGTTCTTGTTTCCTTATAAGACTTTTTAGGTTATAAGACTGAATCACCAAATACTCGTTTCTGCCAGTAATGGTCTTCACTTTGAGCCATGACCTCCCCAGTTCTGTTCCACCACAGAGGAGAACAGTGGGGCTTATCAGTGTTTTGCTTATTTTTTTAATTATTATTTGCTTGTTTTGGCTTAACTTTTCTGCTTTCCATTTGAGAAGATCCCAAACCAGGCAGATCTTTTATTCAATTTTCTTTATTAATAATGTTATAAAAAGTTCATAAAAAAACCCAGACATTTTTTACAAAAAAAGGACAAGGAGAAAATAGAAAGTCCAACAAGCCTGCTCGAGAGATCATATAAATAGACATTCTTCTGTGCTTCTCTTGCTCTCTTTCCCCCCTCTTTCTCCTTTCAGCTGATCCTTCTAGTGTCTCGGTACATCAGACTCGATTCCCTGGCATTCGCCATTTCAAAACCGGTCGTCACACAGAAACACTAGAAATCCTAGCCAAAAAAAAGAAGAGAGAGAAAAAAAGGTCTTCTCCAAAGGACGGCAGATGATGGCTAGAGCTAAGATTCATTTTTTCCGCTTCTTCCGACCACAGGAACACACGTGCACGTTCCCCCTCGGAAACAACCACCCACCCACCCACGAGGGCCCAGACACACCAACACACCCAGGGCGCACGTGTAGGCGCGCGCGCATACATACATACACACACACGCACTCCTAGAAACATCCACGATACTGGTAGTAAACAGTTTGGATTCCCAAAACACACACATACATACACAAGAGAGAGAGCTCGTCCATTCACACCGGCGACTTCCTTTCGAGTTTTGCTTTAAGAAAAGCGAAAGGAGCCCTTGCGAAGCCTGCACGTAGCCATCGGCGTCCCTATAACCCGGAGTTCCGGCAAATCAACATGATTCGAATTGTGGAGGGCGCGGGAAAGCGAAAGTCTCGGCGGCCAGTCTTGCGCGGAAACTCACACAGCAGCCACCAGAGGGGGGCTGGGGGGAAAAAAAGAAGAGTCTTAGCGTGGCCTGGGGGGGTGAGGAGGAGGGCGGCAGGGGGGGAAGAGAGGGAGAACTGCCCCGCGGTGGCCGTTCCTCCT